AGCGTGCAACATTGTTATTTACTAATAAATAGATGCAGCCAGCCAATACACAAATCCGTGCAGTATATTAATGGCATTAAAAAAGTTTTCAGGTGTCCAAAAAAATACCTGCACTATAGTGGTAAGTCCATACCAAGTTAATATCTCTAACATATAAGTTTTAGGTTTTTATATATCAAGCCATTGATATTTGAGTGATCAAGATAGGTATTTATAACTGACCATTTGTTCCAGGCTTAATTGCATGATACCATTGTAAAATCGTCTGGCGTTAGGCAGAGCAAAATATAAAGTAGGGTACATCTGGGCACATATATTGCTACTTATAATTGAAGGGTTAATATAGAAATTTTGTATTTCATAAAGTATTACAATGCTTTTGAAAGGGATAATTTTACGTGAAACCCACCTGTTGTGGACTTAAAAGTAAAATTGTGAACTGATGATGCAGAACCACTGGTAGCTAGGGATTGTGGGGCACTAAATTTACTGTTTTCGTAGATTTTTGTCCAAGCAATTAAGTTATAAAGAACAGAATAATAGTGTTGCTACATTCATGTAGCTATAGGCAAATGGTTGATTTGTCAAATATCAATTATGGATTGTTTCATTATAAATACTGGAATGATCATACTGGATGGTTGTACAATAAGCAAAATTTGCCTTAGGGCCTGTTTATATGGAAGCCGGGCTGGCCCGCTTAGCAAGACAGCCCGGTAAGCGGGATGAATTTCTCTCGTGTTTATATGAGAAAATTTCATCCCGCTTGCCGGGACAATTTTGTTACATTGTATTGTTTTGACAGTTGTTAAAAATAGCTTGCGGCGGTATCTTTGAACTTTCATCCCGGCAACCAGCCTAGCCTGCTTGTGAGTGTTTATATGGAGAAATTTCCATCCCGGTAAGCGAGATCTCGCCTCTTTCAAGCGAGTCCATATAAACGCACAATAATTTTTACTATAAAAATAACTACACAGCGAGATCTCGCTTACCGGGCTGTCTCACGTAGCGGGCCAGCCCGGCTTCCACATAAACAGGCCATATAAACAGGCCATGTAAATTTAGTAAGCCAGTATCTAGGCTGGCTTGCATTACATATAAAACATCCCCTATAATCCTACAATAGTTGGAAAAAATTAAGAAGTAAAACAAATCTAGAATGAAATATATTTCACTTCAATATATGCAATTTGTAGTTAGTTGTATATATAGGCACAAAAATGGATGAAATAGTTTAAAATTCAATACAATGTCATTGTGTTGACATGAAAATATTCTGTTTTTGTAGCCATAGGTGTTAATTTAAACCATGAGATGCTCAATCGTATGAACTATGAATGTAGATTTGCAGTGGTGTAGTGGCATAGACTTGTCTATGTAAGATATATTGAGCATTAATTGCATGGTGTAAATTAACACCTATGGCTACAAAAACAGTTGGTAGAATATTTTCATGTCAACACAATGACATTTTATTGAATTTTCAACTATTTCAGCCATTTTTGTGCCTATATATACAACTATAACTACAAATTGCATATATTGAAGGGAAATTTACTTCTTAATTTTTTCCAACTATAGTAGGATTATAGGGGATGTTTATATTATAAATGTAATGCAAGCCAGCCGAGATACTGGCTTTAGTGGCTTACTTTACTAAGGCAAATTTTGCTTATTGTACAACCATCCATGCAGTATGAGCATTCCAGTGTTTATAATGAAACAATCATAATAGCTAGATATTTGACAAATCAACCATTTGCCTATAGAACTACATGAATGTGGCAACACTATTATTCTGTTCTTTATAACTTAATTGCTTGGACAAAAATGGGAAAGTACAAAACATGGACCCCCGGTCCATGGACCCCTTGTCTGGACCGGGTCCATGGACCCCCTCTATGGACCGGGTCCATGGACCCCCTCCATTGACCAGATCCATGGACCCCCTCCATGGGCCGCATTTTTCCAAATTTCAATATTACTGTTAAACATGATCGATTCGAGTTTTCAATTTTTAAAAATATTTTAGTGGTTTTAAAGCATACTTTTGTTCTTAGCAGCAAACCTCATCTACACTCCAGTGTTTTCTTCATACTAAAGCGAGGCTTGCTAACGACATATCATGACAAATCAATGCACCATGTGAATAATAATAGTGTTACTGACTTGCAAAGCCGTTCAATGATCACAGCCTATGAAATTAAAGAAACCACTGCCAGCAAAGTGTTGAAATAATAAACCACTTTCATTCATGATTGTGCATCTTAATTAGCCTTCTTGGTTCAATATACAAAAAAGTGTTTCAATTTGTCTCTTATGAAAGTGGTCTAAAGGCACTGTTCATAATCAGCAATTTGACTTGCTTCAATTAATACATTTTTGTGAGCTGTGCACTAGCTAGCTGGATGTATTTGTCATTTGGAACAAATTAATAGAACATTTTGATCTTGCAAGTAAATTTAATTGTTTTCTCCCTGTACAGGGTTATTTATATTCACGACAGGTGTATTCAAAATTCCTGATAACATTATTCATAGATGGGGCCATTGAAGAATCGCAGGTCCGTCCATGGAGGGGGTCCATGGAGAGGGTCCATGGACCCGGTCCATAAAGGGGGTCCATGGACCCGGTCCAGACAAGGGGTCCACCCAGGTTGACAATCTTGCCAAGATCCCAGCAAGATCTTGACAAGATCTTACCCAAGATCTTACCAAGATCATGCCAAGATCTTACATAAATCCTGCAAGATCATGGAAAGATCTTGCAAGATCTTGCAAGATCTTTCCAAGTTCTTGCAGGATCTTACCTAAGATCTTGCAGGATTTACCTAAGATCTTGCAGGATCTTGCAAGATCTTGCCAAACATCTTGCAAGATCTTGCCATGATCATGACAAGATCTTGCCATGATAATGGCAAGATCTTGCAAGATCCTGCAAGATCTTGGGTAAGATCCTGCAAGAACTTGGAAAGATCTTGCAAGATCATGCAAGATCTTTCCATGATCTTGCAGGATTTATGTAAGATCTTGGCATGATCTTGGTACAAATCCTGCAAGATCTTGCCATGATAATGGCAAGATCTTGCAAGATCTTAGGTAAGATCCTGCAAGAACATGGAAAGATCTTGCAAGATCCTGCAAGATCTTAGGTAAGATCCTGCAAGAACTTGGAAAGATCTTGCAAGATCATGCAAGATCTTTCCATGATCTTGCAGGATTTATGTAACATCTTGGCATGATCTTGGTACAAATCCTGCAAGATCTTGCCATGATTCTCCAAGATCTTACCACAAATCCTGCAAGATCTTGCCATGATCCTCCAAGATCTTACCAAAATCCAGCAAGATCTTACCAAAATCCAGCAAGATTTTGCCAAAAGTCCTGCGAGATCTTGCCATGATCCTCCAAGATCGTACCGAAATCCAGCAAGATCTTGCCATGATCCTCCAAGATCTTACCAAAAATCCTGCGAGATCTTGCCATGATCCTTCAATATCTTACGAAAATCCAGCAAGATCTTACCATGACCCTACAAGATTTTACCAAGTTCGTGGCAAGAATACATGGCAAATACAGAATGAAGAGGCTTTACATGAAATATACTATACTCTGGATATAACTTTGATTGAATTTATCAAACTAACGTAAAAGTGTACAATATTGCCATAAATTCAGTGTCGGTCTTTATTAAATTGTAATCAATTAGTTCATCCAAATTATAATACTCAAGCTTTTACTCGGTTTAGTTTGCATAGTAAATGTAGTAAATTAGGCCAATAATGTTGGTAAAATATTATCAATATCTATGGCGATTGAAATAAAGTCCGAATGAAAGTTCCACCTTGCTCAATATTTGAGAGAAAACAAAAGGAATCTTGTCTGTTCTTAATAATTCTGTTCTAAAGAATTGAGTTTCAAGATGGAACTTTTATTCGGAGGTTGTTTCATACTTTACTTCATGAAATTATATTAGCATTGACACCATTGTTATTGCAAGTTCTTCGATTTTGTTTTTCTTCGCATATCGCGGCACTTATCGCGGAATTTTGATTGCACGTATCCACGATAATTTGGCTTGTCTACTGTTCACTGTTTTCTGTACTTTTTCTTCGCCATACTTGGCGTTGAGGACAGCTATATCGTAAAAAAGACTGTGTTAAAGTAAGTCTATTTTTTGTATTTAAGTTCATTTCAATGTTTACCCGAAACACATTGCCATTGGCAAAGAAAACTAGTACTTTTAATTAACACATACTGTGGCAACTTAGTCTTAAGTTTGTATATATCTGTTCACAGCTGGCCAAAGTTCAAGTCAAATCACATATATTATTCTTACCAAACAATTTAGTGACCCTGTCGGGATCTAGTGCTGGTTTTGGAGATCTTTTCCACTGGAATAGTATTCCATCCTGGAGTTCTTCCGATGAAAATAGGAAGTCCAATAATTTGATTGCACATTTTGATGGCTCTTTTGGCGGTGCATTTACGGTCATCAAATTAAATGTCATTGTGCCACTAAAATGAATTAACAATACTTGATATTAAATCACTGTAGTTGAATTCTTTTTAAGTAAAACGATAAATATAAATTACACATGTATACACTCATACTTACTATCTCGATCTCTGTAGTTTCTTTTTTGGCCATAGCTTTATCACTTGGGGATGCCTTCACCATGTTTTCCTAAATAATATTTGAAATAACAAATTTTGAATAACACACATGTTGAATAATCGTAGCTCAAACCATTAATTTTATATGAAAGATCCCTATATTTTATCCTAGCTTCACTGGTTGGCATAATGAAACTTAACTCACTAATGAAGCTCACATTTATACCGTAGTGTGAAATTGCGTGTTCCTATGCGGTGCATTTACGATGTTTGCGCACCGGACCTGTCATCACTACAGTTTTCAGGACATTTCAGTAGCGCAAAAGCTGTGTAATAAATATAAGACTGTGTGAATATAATAATTTGTGGTCCCAGGGGTATTCTCAACGGCTTTGTCATTCTTAAGAAAACGGTAAACTAGGCATTATCACGTTTTTAAAGCAACGTAAAAGCTTATTGCGACCAATGAAGAGGTGTTATTAAAATTATTTAAAGTCGAAATTACAGCAAGCATTACATCGCTTTAGACGATTAACTTAGCCGTTTGTAAGCTTATTTGAAAAAGCTTGAAACATTTATTACATTTGGTAATCGAATTGCTTAGCGCTCATTCAATTTCAATATACAAATATGAAATAATGTGTTGCCGCTGGGTACAAAATAGGTTGTAAGCACTTACCTTTTATTTAAGACAGCTCGACAAGTTATCCTTTCTTCTTAGTGCGGCAACAAAGTCGAGGAACAGAAGCATAAACTGCCTTGTACCTTGTATGTTTGACTTATAAAACGCGCCTTGGGGCTTTTACCAACGGTTGTCTACCACAAATATGCGAAAAATGCGCAGATAACAAGATTTACAGATATTGATTAATTGATCTCATTTAGTCATTTCAGTCATTTGGATCTGGCATGCAAATGTGCGAGAGCAACTGTGCGCGTAAAAGCCTCCTTTCACAAGGATCTTTCAAAATCATGGCATTTTTGGTATGATCATGGTAAAATCATGACAAGAGATTGTGTCAAGAACTTCCAAGATCAAGATAGATAAGATCTTGGCAAGATCATGCTGGGATCATGGTGAGATCTTGACAAGATCTTCCAAGACTATGGCAATATTATAATAGAATCTTGGCAAGATTGTGATAAGACCTTAGCAAGGATCATGATGGGATTTTGAAAAGATCCTCTTGAAAAGATCGTCCAAGATCATGGCAAGATTACAATAGGATCTTGGCAAGATTTTGGTAAGATATTGGCAAGATCATGCTGAGATCTTGGCAAGATCATGGTGAGATCTTGTCAAGATTTTCAAGACCATGACAAGATTATGGTAGGATCTTGGCAAGATTTTGATAAGATCTTGTCAAGATCATGGTGGAATCTTGGCAAGATTGTCCAAGATCATGGCAAGATTATGATAGAGTCTTGGCAAGATTGTGATAATATCTTAGAAAGGATCATGGTGGGATCTTGGTAAGATCATGGTGGAATCTTGCCAAGATCCTCCAAGATCATGGCAAGATTACAATAGGATCTTAGCAAGATTTTGATATGATCTTGGTAAGATCATGGTGGAATCTTGCCAAGATTGTGCATGATCATGGCAAGATTATGATAGAATCTTGGCAGGATTGTGATAAGATCTTAGCAAGGACCATGGCGGGATCTTGGCAAGATCATCGTGGGATCTTGACAAGATCTTCCAAGATCATGGCAAGATCATGATAGGATATTGACAAGATTTTGACAAGATCTTGGCAAGATCATGGTGGAATCTTGGCAAGGTTGTCCAAGATCATGGCAAGATTTTGATAGAATCTTGGCAAGATTGTGATAAGATCTTAGCAAGAATCATGGTGGGATCATGGCAAGATCATGGTGGGATCTTGACAAGATCTTCCAAGATCATGGCAAGATTACAATAGGATCTTGGCAAGATTTTGATATGATCTTGGTAAGATCATGGTGGAAT